ATAATAATAATAAACCGATCATTTTATATTAGGCTTCTTCATTAAAAGGCTGTAAAGTAATTAGAGATCATTTTCTTAAATTTCCTTTGCTTACCTTTAAATTAGTACATTTTAAAATTTGATATCAAATAATTGATTTAATTGATCAAAAAGAGCATCTTACTTTAGATGGATTAAATAAAATAGTAGTTTTAAAAGAACATAGCCTTAATGGTATTTCCATACTATTAAAAAAAACATTTCCTAATTATATTCAATGTTTAAAAGACCAACCTAAATAAGAGCCTGATTTAAAAAAATAAGTAAAAATTGATTAGCGGGTTTTATAAACGGTGACGGCCATTTTGGTGTGCGAATTTCAAATGCTCCTGCATTAAAATTAGGTAAAAGAGTTTGTATTAAAATACATATTGTGCAACATACTAATAGTCTTATAGTTTTAAAAGAGATTATAAAATTTTTAGGTGTGGGGTCTATTGATGTACGGAAAGATGGGCAGGCTGCAGATTTTAAAATTAAAAATTTAAAAAACATTAATTTATTTATTACAAATTTTGAGGGTGCTAAATCTTTAGATTATAAAGATTTTTGTACGATCATTGAAATAATAAACAAAGGCCTACATTTTACGCTAGAAGGTATAAATGATATTAAAAAAATAATAGTTAATTTAAATAGCCGGCTCGCTTGCGCAAAAATTTTAATCTTAAATTTTTTTTTTTCTAGTTCCTAAAATGGAAAAATCTTAATTATAGTGCTTTAATAAAAAATTAGCCACTGGTGAAATTTAACAAATTTCTTTTGAAGGCTGCATTATAAATCACTTTTTATTTAAACCACCACCACTTACAAACTGAATTTATAAATATAAATTCTTTTAATTTTAAAAAATATAAAAAAAAAATGAAAATGAAAAATTTTAATAATAATAATAATAATAATATAAATCAAATAATATTACACCCTGATTATATAACAGGTTATTCCGATGGTGAGTGTACATTTTCTTTTAGCATAACTAAAAAAATCTAAGAAAAGATGGAACAATTAGATATCAAGTTGTTCCAGAATTTATGCTTGTTGCATCAAATAATTCTGCTAATAGTAAACAATTAAAGCTGATTCAATCTTATTTTAGCGTAGGAAAAATTATAATTGAGAAAAGAGCTAAAGTAGGTAATAATAATAAAGATGTGCTACGATTCAGAGTGCAGTCTTTTAAAGATTGCATGATTATTAGAAAACATTTTGAATTAAATCCTTTATTAACTACTAAATTAATTCATTTTAAACTTTGATGTCAAGTTTTAGATTTAATGAATAAAAATGAGCACCTTACGATCGAAGGATTAAATAGAATTGTAGCACTTAAAAAATATAGTTCAAAAGGTATTTCTAAAAATTTAAAAAGTGATTTTCCATATCATATTAAGTATACTCAAGCAAAACCTATTTATGATCCTAATTGAAAAATTTAAAAATGCATCGAATAGTTGGTTTTATAAATGTGGGTGGTTCAGTAAAAGTATATATTATTAATAATCAAATAAGCAAATTTAAAAAAAAATCATTCAAACTATTATTATAAATCAACATGCTTATAATTTAAAAATTTTAAATAAAATAAAAGACTATTTAGACTATAATAATGTTTTAATAAAAAAATCATTAATTATAATAAATTTATTAATATATTAATTAGAAAACATAAATAATTTTATTAAAAAAATACAATGAAGAGGGTCAAGTTTATTAGGTACTAAAGCTTTAGTTTTAGAAGATTTTTTTGTACCTACCTACGGACCTACGGACCTACGGACCTCCTAATTTTTTATACCTTCTTTATTAAAGAAGGTATAAAACAAGCGCTTGTTTATTAATAAATTAATAAATTTATTAATTTATTAATAAATTAAAAGAGGTAGAGATAGTTTAATTGGTTAAAATAACATACTGTGGCCATGTGGTTAAAAGTTCGATTCTTTTTCTTTACCCTTTTTTAAATGCTTTTAAAAAATAAAAATAATAATATTTTTAAAAATAAAATTTAAAATGTTTGCTTTATTACTTATTAATTATTTTAGTTGTTTTTTTACCTTTTGGTTTTTATAATAAATTAAAAATTATTATATTATTATATTATTTAATGGTATGTTCTCCCTCACCTTTGCTTTGCTAGCGAGGACTTTTTGCTTTATTATTTGTTTGTTAATGCTTAATAATTGTTTTACTATTTTAAAATTGTTTAATTATCTTATAATAAAAATGATTGTTTTATTAATTAATTATTAATATAATTTTTTTTGCATTTTATTTATTGCTTAAGTCTGCATTTTATTTAGTTTTTTGTTTTTATTTAGTTTAAAACAAAATTATTAGTTTATATTAAATGTACATTTTTAATATAAATTAATTTATTTTTAAAACAAACTGATTAAGTTTTAATTAAACTTTAAATTTTAGTTAAAGTTCAAATTAAATTAAATTAAGTTTAAGTTTAAGTTTAAGTTTAAGTTTAAGTTTAAATTTTTTTTTCATATTATTTTTATCACTCTTTCTACTACGCAACAATTTCGCATCCTTGATACTAACATACTGGCTGCTTCTTGCTACGCTAAACAACCGTAGTTGGAAGCGCATGCTTGCTTCTTGCTTCAACTAGCGGTAATAAATAATAAAATAAAAATTATTTAAAAAAATTAGCGTGTTATAAAATTAATATAACAAATTAAAAAAAGAATTTAGTATAGTTGGTTAGTACGCTAATTTCCAAAATTAGAAAGGGTAGTTCAAATCTACCAATTCTTGTTTGTGATTTTAAAAATAATAATTTTTATTTTATTTAAGTTTATTTAAGTTTATTTATTATTTTTTAATATAATAATAATTAATTTAAAATAATTAATTTATTTTACGTTGATTTTACCTATTATAATTAATTTTAATTCTAATTCTAAACGGCATAAATTTATTTTAATTAAATTCGCAATTAATTTATTTTAAATAATTTTTAATTATTTGGCAAATTAATTTTTTATTTTAAAAGGGCCTTTAGCTTAATGGTAAAGTGCTTTCTTGTCACGAAAGATTATGTCGGTTCAATTCCGATAAGGCTCGTTAATGTTAATTTAAAAAAACCAATGTTTAATTAATTTAATAGTTTACCGTTGGCTCTTGTTTTTTAATTAATAGAAAGATGCAAAGCTTGCGAAGAAAATTACCAAAAGCTTTTTATAAATGAAAAAGTAATTAAAATTCTTATTATTCTCATTTCTCTAATTATTTTTTATAAAAAAAATGTAGCAAGTATTATTATTGTACATCAATTATTAAAAATTAAAAAGCTGGCGCAAGCATGTTTTAAATTAATAAAATATAAAATAAATAAGCATAGGTAAATAATATAATTAAATTTATGCTATTATTAATAATAATATTAAAATAAAAAAAAATAAAAAAGACTTCTATTTTAAAAACAATACAGAAAAAGGCTTAACAATAAAATAAAAAAAATTAAATTAATAAAATCAAAACTAATTAATAAAGAACTTAATTTTCCCTTGCTGCCTGCTCGCCTTGCTTGCCGCAAGGCGGGAAAACCGATTGACTATTGTTCCTAGCGCCCTTGGTCGTCTTTAACGTAATATTTTATAGAGCCATGCAGTTAATTTAGTTAACATTATTAAATAATTTTAAATTTAATATTACAATTGCGCCAAAATACTATTACAATTGCGCCAAAATGCTATTACCCTCTGTAATCTTATAAATAAATATAAACTACTATTGTGCTAAACTTTCATTATTCTCCTCCAAAAGTAGAGAAATATGCAAAGATTAAAAAGTAGATGTAGACCTGTTCTTGTTATACGGATTATTACCCTCTCACAAGTGCAAATTATAATTTATGGCAACGGTGAATTAATAACCACCTCAACTCAGATTCTTAATAATGCTTAATATTAAATATTTTAATTTACTAAATAAAATTTAAAATTTTTATGGTGTAGGCCAAATTAATTTTTATGAAAATAAAGTAAAATTAACTATTAGTGCAATTAATGATCTGCAAAATTATTGTAAATCATTTTAATATTTACCCTTTAGTGATTAATAAGTCTTCCGATTTTAAATTATGATTAGATGCTTATAATATAATCCTTGCTAAAAACATATAATTATAATTATTATAGTAATAGAAGAATTAATTACTATTAAAGGTACTTTAAAATTAGGGTTATCAGATCAATTAAAAATCGCTTTCCCGTTTGCTGCTCCCGTTGAAAGATTTTTATTTGTATTTAAAGGTATTCCCAATAATAATTTAATTTTAGGTTTTATTAGCGGAGATGGTTCAATTAATGTAAACTCTGTTTTATTTAAATCTCATAAAATAGGTAAAATAATTCTTTAAGGATTTGCTGTAATGGTTCATATTAGAGAAACTATGGTTGTTGAAAAAATCGGTAAAATTTTATTTGATGGTTTACATTTTAGCGCGGAGCGGGAAATTATTTTTTTTTAATGATTAGCAATGAACATTTAATTCAAGAAGGGTACAATAAAATTATGGTGATTAGATAAAAATTGAATAACTATGAATAATCCAAAATTTTTAAAACTTATATTTTTAAATTAAATTATTATTATAATTATTTAAAAAAAGTTATAAGTTTTTATTGTAGTTAATAAATTATTAGTGTATATAATAAGGGCCTTTTGGCACGGTATATTTTTATTTGTAATTATTATAAAATATTATAAATATAGTATATTATTATTATAATAATATATTTATAATCGGAGAAGATTTAGTTTAATCACACTAAAATAAAGCTCCCACCACCAATTTTTTAATTATTTAAATTATAATGTATTTAAATTATAAAAGAGATTAAAAATAGGCTTCCCACATATTACCTGGCGTAGCAAGGAAGCAAGCAACAAAAACAAAAAGTTTAAACCTTTTACTTTATTTAAATTTGATTTTTTTTCTATCAAAGAACTTCGTATAGTGGTTAGTACAGTGATCTTCAAAATCATTTGGGATTGTTCAAATCAATCAGTTCTTGGGTCTTTTTTTTTATTAATATTGTTTCTTGCGCCCCACCTATGGGCCTATGGGAGAAAGCGAGTAGTAATTAATTTTATTTATTATAAATAAATAAAATAAAATTGGCAAAACTATAGTTAAAAAAATTAATTATTACCCAAAAAGAGAAATAGAGGTAAAAGGATAAACCCTAAAATAAGTATTATTACCATTAAGTAGCTTAAAAAGGAAAGATAATCATTGGTAAGATAAAACTATTGCTAATAGTTCGGATAATTCTGTAAAGGTTCGATTCCTTTTCTTTCCGCATTTTTTTAAATTTACTTGCTATTCGCCTTGCTTGCTACGCTTGCAACCAACTATTAGCAAAAATAGTTTTTTTAAGCTTCAGGTTTTTTTTAAAAAGAATGCATAATTTTTATTTTTTTTTTTTATTTTTATTTTTTTTTAACTATCACCACACTATAAATTTATTGCTTTTTTTAATTTTATACAAATTTTTATGTTCCAAGGTTCCTAAAGGAAAATTTATTATTAAAAATGACTTTTTCACTTTTTCTTTTTATAATTGGTTTAATAGGATTTATTTTGAATAGAAAAAATGTAATTTTATTGTTAATCTCAATTGAAATTATGTTATTAGCTATTACACTTATTTTTTTAGTAAGCTCTATTAATTATGATGACAATTTTGGTCAAGTAATTGCACTTTTTATAATTGCTTTAGCAGGTGCTGAGTCTGCTATAGGATTGTCAATCCTAGTAATATTTTATCGACTAACAGGAGCTATTGCTCTTACGAAAGAGGATGGTATTAATAATTTTTAAATTTTAAAATTTTAAACTTTTAAATTTTAACTTTTAATTAAAACATACTCTATTAAATTTTAAATCACACAATGTATATTTTAATTTTATTTTTTCCCTTAATGGGTTCCATAATTGCTGGTTTATTTGGTAGAAAAATTGGAGCAAATGGTTCTCAATTTGCTACTATTTCTAGCTTAGCAATAGCTTCTATTTTAGCTTTATTAGCTTTCTATGAAGTTGCTATTTGTAGCTCTCCTGTTTCTATTAATTTAGGATCATGAATTAATTCGGACATTTTAACTATTAATTGACTATTTTCTTTTGATGAACTGTCCGTTACAATGTTATTAATAATTTCAAATGTATCATTAGCAGTACATATTTATTCAATTTATTATATGGCAGGAGAACCACATCAACAAAGATTTTTCTCGTTCCTATCACTCTTCACTTTTTTCATGCTTGTTTTAGTAGCAGGGGGAAATTATCTGGTACTATTTTTAGGTTAAAAAAATTAAACTTGGCTTAAATAAAATATTAGAATATGCTGAAACATATTTTTAAATTTTAAACTAATAATATAATCAGCAAATTAATTAATAAAATTAATTTCAGAGACTTTTTCTATATATTATATAATTTTTTTTTTATATTAAATATAAAGTTCAATTATTTATTTTGTCATTTCAAAAATTTATTATATTATACAATAATATTATTTAAGTTTTATATAAAATTTCTTATTTTTTTTTTTTATTAATAATTATTTATTAAATTTATTATTGATTACAATAAATAATTTAATTAGTTTAAAAGTTTAAATTATTTAAACTATTTTTTGCTAGCCGTAGGAAGCGAAACAAAAAGTTAATAATATAATAATTAGCCTGGCTCTGCCTGGCTCTGCCTGGCTCTGCCTGGCTCTGCCTGGCTCTGCCTGGCTCTGCCTGGCTCTGCCTTTTTAAATATTAGTTTTTTAATTTTTATAATGTTTGAATGGCTTAAAATAAAACTATTTTACCGCTATAAAGCAATAAATATTATTATTAGTTTTATTCTTTTCTTTTTATTCTTTCGCGTATCTTTTATTCTTATCCTAAAACTATTTTATTACAATTTGCTAAAAAAATAATTTAATTTAAGAATGGGTTACTATGCTACCAAAATAGCAAAAACAAAGGTCGCTTCGCTACCAAAAAAATGAGTAATTCATTTATATCAATATTACAAGATGTAAAATTAAAAAATATTAATATTGTATTACCTTTAATTATACTTTTCTTTATAATATTAAATTAATTATAAACTTTTAACTTAACAAAATAAATACAATTGTGAGAGGGTATTGGAGTGTCTTCATATTTATTAATTAATTACTATTATACGAGAATAGCTTCTAATAAAGCGGCTATTTTAGCCTTTAATCAAAATAGAGTAGGTGATTGATTATTGTCTGTAGGTTTTTTTGCAATAATAAGTGTTTTTGGAACTTTAGATTATGATATTATTTTTAGTTTAGCGCAAAGTATTAATCCTGATTTAATTTCTATTATTTGTTTATTATTATTTTTAGGTGCGGGTGCTAAATCTTCAGTTATAGGACTTCACTCTTGATTGCCTGGGTCTATGGAAGCGCCAACACCAGTTTCATCATTACTTCATGCTGCCACATTGGTTACTGCTGGTCTATATTTATTAATTAGATCAAGTCCTTTATTAGAATTTAGTCCAACCATATTATTTATTATAACTATTGCAGGAAGCCTTACTGCAATTTTTGCAGCAACAAGTGGATTATTGCAAAACGATATTAAAAGAATAATTGCTTTTTCTACTATTTCACAGTTAGGTTATTGTTTTATTGCAATTGGTCAAATATTTAAGGCCAATTAAAAATTTTATTTAATACGAAAAAAAAATATTTAAAGATTTTTAATTCGTAAATATAATATAATATTATATTTCAGAGACTTAACGTAAATTTAATATATAATAAATATTTAAAAATATTTAATTAATTATTAAAAAAATAAAGTCCGTTTAGATTTTTTATTATTTTAAAAATTGTTTATTTAATAAATTATTTAATAATCTTTTATATTTTATAAGATTAGAATTTTTTCCCGCGCTTTTTGATATAGATTTTAATATGTGAATGAGTTTTTTCCCTTGTTTAATTTGTTTTAATAATTCTTCTAACGAAAAACCTAATAAATCTCCAAAAAAAAGAGCTTATGTTTCAATGGAAGATAAAATTTTAATCTCAAATAATATTACAGATAGTTTTAAACAAGTCATGACTGGAATTTTACTTTTAGATGGTTCATTAAGAATGAATGGGAGAATGGCCTTGTTAAGCGTACAACAAATACATCTTGAATTAACAATGGGTTTGTGAACAATGTGTAAATATTTACAATTAATATCTAATGATATATTAACTTTAAATAGAAATAATTAACAACCTATTCATACATTTTAAACTTTAACTTTACCATTTTTTACGTATTTATTTAAAATTTGATATACTAATTTAGACGGTAGAAATATAAAAATACTACCAAGTAATATTTATGATTTATTTACTCCTTTTTTAGGGAGACGGAAGTTGAGACAAGTATAGTTCACGAATTGTTCTACATTTAAATAATTTTACAAAAGAAGAAGTAAATATTATTCAATTTATTTTATCTTCTAAATATAATATGAAAAGTTCTATAATTTGGGTAACTAAAACTAATTCTTTAAGAGGTTATATAATCAAAATACCAAAAAGGGAAGTTGCAAAAGTGCAAAATTTAACTAAAGAATATATTTATCCTTCATTACAATATAAAATAGGTTTATAAAATACAAGTTTTATAATTCAAAATATTTAAAAGAATAAAGTTGATTCACCACGGTCCAAGCACAAGCACAAGCACAAGCACAAGCACAAGCACAAGCACAAGCACAAGCACTTTTTAAAAAAATAAAAATATTCTAAACGCTTTCACAATATCAGACTGCTTTATTTCACGTTTTAACACACTCTTGTTTTAAAGCACTATTATTCTTAGGAGCTGGTGCGGTAATTCATGGAATGCAAAATCAACAAGACGTTCGACGATTAGGGGGTTTAATTGGCTTTTTACCATTTATTTACACAGTAATGTTTATAGGTTCTATAAGTTTAATGGCAATACCCTGGTTGAGCGGATTTTACTCAAAAGACCTGATCTTAGAATTAGCATTTGGAACTTATAGTATTAAAGGTTATATTGCATGAGTTTTTGGAACTTTAACTGCATGTTTTACAGCTTTTTATTCTTTTAGATTAATATCATTAACATTTTTAGGAACTCCAGCTGCCTCAGTTAAGAGTTATAATAATGTTCACGAACCCTCATTAAGTGCTATTATTTCTTTAGTATTCTTAGCAATTTGTAGTATTTTTATAGGTTATTTAACTAGTGATGCTTTTGTAGGTGTAGGTTCAAATTTTTTAGGAAACAGTATTTTTATTGCACCTAACAATATAGCAATTATTGAAGCAGAATTTGCTTTACCAATTTATATTAAATTAGCCCCTGCTGTTTTAACGGTAGTTGGTGGTATTGCAGCAGTGCTTTTATATTTATTTTTCCCTAATTTCTTATTTACTTTAACTGCTAATAAACTAGGAATTACCCTTTATACTTTCTTTAATGGTAAATATTTATTGGATCTTTTATTAAACAACTACATTATCAGAGGCGGTTTATCACTTGGTTATACTTTATCTAAATATTTAGATCGAGGAGTCTTTGAATATTTTGGACCTTTTGGCTTATCAAAATTAAATTATACAATGAGTCAAAAATTAAATAAACTTGATGACGGGTTAATTACAAATTATGTAAGCTATATAATTATTTCTATTCTATTTATTAATATTTTTCTTTGAACTTATTTCATAGTTGATAATTCATATTTTTTTAATTTAAATAATGAGTATATATTTAATACAAAATTATTAGATTCTTCAGAATTACTTACTTTTTTAAATTCATTAACTACTAGAAATGGTGAAATAAAAGAATTATCAGCTATTTCATATCTTGGACCGTTTAATGTTTATAATCCTTTCTATTTAATTGAGATTTCACTTTATGATTTATTTAACGGAGTGTTTTCAATTGAAAATTTCAGTTCAAATGAAATTTTACATAATTATAACAACAATAAGGA